CGTCGTCGTCGTCGTCGTCGTCGTCGTCGTCGTCGTCGTCGTCGTCGTCGTCGTCGTCGTCGTCGTCGTCGTAGTAGTAGTAGTCGTAGTAGTAGTAGAAGTAGTAGTAGTAGTAGTAATAGTAGTAGTAGCGATAGTGACAATAGTAGTAGTAGTAGTAGTCATAACTGTATACGGAGGAAGAATAAGAAGTAGCAGTAGTAGTAGCAGTAATCGTAGTAGTAGGAAGAATAGTCTGCGGGGGCACGAATAGTAAAAGCACATACTGCTGGTGATAGCCCTTGCACTAGTAGTAATACTCGTTCACCGTAGTAGCAGTCGTTGTAGTAGTACTAGTGGTAAATTAACACGAATAATGTAACACTTATGACATCAATAGTGGTAATACGAACAATAATACAATGTATGATGCAAGGCAATGGAGCAGTAATCGTAATAGTACTAGTACATCCTTCTCCTCCTCCTCGTCCTCCTCCTCCTCGTCCCTGTCCTCCTCCTCTCGGTCTTCCTACTCCCTGTCCTCCTCCTCCAAGTCCTCCTCCTCCTCCTCCTCCTCCTCCTCCTCCTCCCCCTCCTCCTCCTCCCCCCTCCTCCTCCTCCTCCTCCTCCTCCTCCTCCTCCTCCTCCTCCTCCTCCTCCTCCTCCTCCTCCTCCTGGGCCACCGCCAGTGGCCAGACTTCCCTGGGGAGGCGTCTGGGCCCATCGGCGGCCGCCCCGGCCGGCGACTCCGAAGGATGTGGTCTGCAAAGGGTGTGGTTTGCAACCGGCACACTGGGGGGGGACCCTCCTCCTCCTTCTCCTCCTCCTCCTCCGCCTCCTCCTCCTCCGCCTCCTCCTCCTCCGCACCCTGAGGGACACCCTGGGGGGGCGGGCGGGGACCTCGACTGAGTTCTCCGCCGCGCCCCGAGGAGGCCCGACGAGGGCAGCGTCGTCCCCACCAGGCTCCTACGGCGCCGATCGCAAACCACACCCCGGCGTGACCACACCGTGTGTAGTCGCCGACCCAGATATCCCCAGAGGCCCACTGGGCCTTGCTCACCCCCATGCCGAAGCAGGCGTCGTCCTCGCCCTCATCGTCGGGCCCCTCGTCGCCGCTCTCGTCCCCTTCCAGGCGCTTCCGGTTCTTCTGCTCGCGCTTCACGTCGAAGTAGCGCCTCCGCGCCTTCCGCGACGCCTTCGTGTCGACAACGCCCCCGTTGCAGAGCCGAAGGGCGATCTCCGTGACGATCGGGACGACGGCTCCGGCGGAGCCCCCGCTCGCCTTCACCTGAGAGGCAGGCGCTGCACGGATGCGGCCCTTCCCCCGCCCACCCACCCCCTCTGCACCCACACCCGCTGGCGGCGCGCCCGAAGTGGCGGCGCGAGGGCCTGGCCTTCTGAGAAGCGCTCGCGGCTTCTGAGGAGCCCCCATCGGAAGCCAGCGGGGCCCTTCCGAGGAGGCCCCCGCCTTCCAAGAAGCCCATCGCCTTCTCGGAAGGCTGCCCCCCTCGTTCCCACAACCCCTGTGCGCGCGGGCTTCCGCGGGGGCGGACGGCCCTGGCGCGAGCATCGCGCGCGCAGTCCTCGGGCTCCCGTCGCCCAGCTGCTCAGCAGAGGCTCGAGAGCGCACACGTGCAATGCTCCGCCCTGGACCGTTCACCACGCGCTGGGAGGGCGCAGGCTGTCCGCCACCGTGCCGCGGGGGGCGGGACTCGGAGTCCGAGGTCTCTGCACGGAGCGTTGTGAGTGGACACTCCCGAAGGGCCCCGGACCCTGGGGCCCTGACAGGCCCCAAGAGGGCCTCCGAGGCTCCCACAAGGGCCCCGAGATGACCCCGAGACGGGCCGCCACCGTTGGCATCCTTGCTTCACTGTGTGCTTCTCCACTTCCCTCTTGCCAACGGCCCGCCTGGGTCTCGTTTATGGACGCGCTGGAGGAGCTGCGCGGAGGGCTAGGGATACTCTTCAGGGGCCCCAGGCCCCAGATCCCCAGAATTCGCGGGCGAACTCGGGCGCTCCAAGACGCTGCTGGGGGGCTCGTCACGCCACTTCTCCCGAGGCCTCCAGCGCGTGACTCCGGCTCCAAGCTTCCAACATGAGGCCGCACTGGAGCTCTCTTGAAGGCCTCTCGGGCCGTCCTAGAGACCACTGTGGGCCGCCCCAAGAGGCAAGAGACACTGAACAACCTGAGGTGTTTCCCAGTCATCCTGTGGTGTTGGGTTCTCGTTTTGAAAGGACAGCGCCCCGCGTCTCTTTCTCCACCCCCGTCCTCCCTCCTCCCCTCCCTGCCTCTGCCCTCCGCACATCCATTTCGGCACACCCCTCACATGTTTCGTGGCCCCATAGGGAGCTCCACCGAAGGTCCAAGTGGCAGGGATCGCATGCGGTTCCCCGCCCATCGCGACACACCAGTCACACGCTTCGTGGCCCCATAGGGAGCTCCCCCGAAGGCTCCAGTGGCAGGGTTCACAACCAGTTCCCGCCCATCTCGGCACACCTCTCACACGCTTCGTGGCCCCATTGGGAACTCCACCGAAGGCCCCAGTGGCAGGGTTCACAACTGGTTCCCGACCCATTTCGACACACCACACACAGATTTCGTCGCCCCATGGGGAGCTCCACCGAAGCCCTCAATGGCAGAGTTCGCATCCGGTTCCCCGCCCATGTCGGCACACCCTACGCAGGTTGCGTGGCCCCATGGGGAGCTCCACCGAAGCCCTCAATGGCAGAGTTCGCATCTGGTTCCCCGCCCATGTCGGCACACCCTACGCACGTTGCGTGGCCCTATGGGGAGCTCCACCGAAGCCCTCAATGGCAGGGTTCGCATCCGGTTCCCCGCCCGTTTCGGCACACCCTGCGCACGTTTCGTGGCCTTCGGTAAATCTCCCGATGGGGCCACGAAACGTGTGAAGGATGTGCCGAAATGGACGTGCGGAGGGCAGAGGCAGGGAGGGGCGGAGGAGGGAGGGGAAGGAGGAGAGAAAGGAGACGCGGGGCGCTGTCTCTTCAAAACGAGGACCCAACATCGCAGGATGGTTGGAACCAACAAAAAACTGCAACGTCGCAAAAAATCACGACTGGAGCCCCTGATCCCGGACCAGGAGCCCCAGACTTGGGAATATGGGGAGGGGGGGAAGCGGAGGAGGAAGAGGAGGACCAGAGTAAACCCAAGATGGGTGCTGCAATACACCCTCCCGTCCCAAGTCCCCTCCTACAAGACTCGTCAAAAATAAACTGACTGTTATTGTGTTCGGTGCTTGTGTGGTCGGCGCTACTTCAACGCTGGCATGGGACTTGCGGCCCAGACGCAGGGGCGCCCGAAATCCAGCAATACCTCACAGCATTGAAGAACGTGTTTTCTGACAAGTGCCCGAAATATCAGGCGAATCGATTTTGAACGGCGCGTCAATATAGTTTCAGCTAGCCGTGCAAGTCCTCGGCAGCCTCCCGCTCCACTTGAAAGAGGCGGCCCCTCGAAATGATAGCAGCACCCACGGGCCTGCCGGTCAGGCAAAAGAGCCCCGTGTCGAGAAGGAGCTGAACGCACTGCGGCTCTCCAGCAAGCAACCATCGGGGGCGCGCAAACATGGATTAGCGATCCATGGATTTGGCGCGCGATCGCCAAATCCATGGATCGGGGGAGGTGCCCTCCCCAAAGTGCGGCCTGTGCGGCCTCGCTCGGCGGCAGGAATGCGCGGTTTCCCATGAAAACGCGACCCGTCGCTAATCCACGCCCCCTTGATCCATGTTTGCGATCGCCTGAGAAAAGGGAAGCACAAAAGTATGATCGGCTTCGGAGTGACAGGGGCCACCCCTGCAGAAAGTCACCGGGCGCAAACCACTCAGACCGAATCCCTTCCACTTCGAGTTCATTTTCTTGTATTATCTCTCCTTTTCTCTCTCTCTCTCTCTCTCTCTCTCTCCTTATCGATCTCGTCGTATCATCTCACCCTCTCTCTTTCTCTCTGTCTCTCTCTCTCTCTCTTTCTCTCTCCTTTTTATCTTCAGTGCTATTATTATTGTTGATCTTCCTAGTCCTCCTCCCAATCAAAACTAGAACCAAGCGCGCGCGCGTCGCGTGCGCTCAGGTTCTAGCAAGTTTTGTTTGTAGTATGACGCGTTCGGCACTGGAGGACATAGATTGTCACACGGATCGCGCCCCTCTTTCACCGAGGGCCCCTGAAATAGGCTAGGTTTAGCGTCCCCCGGCCCACGTCGGCATACCCTCGTTCAAAATGTGGCGTTTGACGCCTTAGCGCCGCGCACATCCGTTGTTCAGAGCTTACATCGCAGATTCAAAGATTCTCATGATTAACGTCCCGGAAATCTCGTATTGGCACGATGTCGGACTCTCAGGGCGCACCACTTACGTTGATTCGCGGTGTTGAAATCCCACCAACGGTTTTTTGATACGATTCAGAACCGTGAGGACGCAACAGTCACATGACGATTATCTTCCAACGAGACACTTCATTCAGTGAAAATGAAACCTTGCCTGGGCCAGATGAAAAAAGAGGTCGGAGGCAGGGTTTCTTGCAACATCGTTGATGAGTCTGGGGTTTGCACTGGCCAGACTCCTCCTGATAATCTGGTAAGAGCCGTAATATGAGCAGGCAAAATACAACTGATACTGCCAAATATGTTCCCGAACCGCTGCCTGCAATAAAGTACTCCTCCAGGGCATGGAGGGCGACAGCCTTGCACCCCCCTCGGCCGGTGCTGGTCCGACTAAATGCCGAAGGAACGCACTGATACACTACAGGGGCCGATTGGACAGCTGGGTGAACAACGGGTTCGCGTAGGCATGTGAAAATGAGAAGCAAAAGACAAGAACGACTGCGAGAACAGAAGCTGTCAGACGCCATGTGGCGAATCTGAAATTGCACACATATTCTACCACGTCTGACCTCCAACCTAACAGGAAAGCGCTCAAAGGCATAACTGGCGCAAGCAAATGAAATCACAGAAACGGTGTTTTGGCACGGTTCGAGATCGTCAGGGCGCAACGGTCACGATGAATCACGGCGCCGAAGTCCCAAAAACGGTGCCCCAGCACAGCTGAGGATTTTAAGAACGGTTGTTTCCCAATGAGACACTACATCCAATGAAAATGAATTATGCTAAAAATCACCGTTGATTGCAACATCGTTGAATCGTCCGGGGCTTGCACTGGCCACCCTCCTCCTGATAATCTAATAGGAGCCGTTCTGTGAGCAGGCGAAATACCACTGATGCTACAAATCTGCTCCCAAACCGCTGTATGCAATACTGTACTCCTCCCGGGCATGAGGACGACAGCCTTACACCCCCCCTCGGCCGGTGCTGGCCCGATTAAACGCAGAGGGAACGCACTGATACACTACAGCAGCCGATGGAACAACTGGGTCAGCAGTGGGCTGGCATAAGCAAAAAGGCGAAAAAGTAGACAAGAACGCCTGCGAGAACAGAAGCTGTCAGACGCCATGTGGCGAATCTGAAAGTGCACACGCCTTCTGCCACGTCAGACCTCCAACCTACAAGAAGGCAATCAAAGGCATAACTGGTGCAAGCAAAATGCGCTTGTGATTTTAATTACCTAACAGCTTGTGCTGATAGGTTTCTAGTAGGGTCAAAAGAGAGCATCATGACACTCCACGGGGGTCCGGGCGGAAGCCGGCAGAAACCGGGAGAATCCAGCGGAGCTCATTCCGTGCGCGCAGGTACGCACGGGAGCCACCTCGGCGCCATCGGAGGTGCGCTCCGTGCGCGCAGGCACGCACGGGAGCCACCTCGGCGCCATCGGAGGTGCGTTCCGTGCGCGCAGGTACACACGGGAGCCACCTCGGCGCCATCGGAGGCGCGTTCCGTGCGCGCACGTACACACGGGAACCACCTCGGCGCCATCGGAGAAGCGTTCCGCGCGCGCAGGCACGCACGGGAGCCACCTCGGCGCCATCGGAGGTGAGTTCCGTGGGCGCAGGTACGCACGGGAGCCACCTCGGCGCCATCGGAGGTGCGGCTGAGGCTGAGGCAGGCTGAGGCTGAGGCTGAGGCTGATGCAGGCTGAGGCTGATGCAGACTGAGATGCATATGTAGCTTCCTCGTCGCATTAGGGGCCCCAGCGTCACCGAATTTGCCCCTTTACCGTCGCTGTCGTGCCGCCGGGCGCTTCAGCGGGCAATCATGCGCATGAAGTACGCCACGCGCCTGCGCGCTCACGAAGGGGGCCAGGGCGCCCTGTCGCCTGCGGGCGACCGTGGACCTCGCGGCGGAGGCGCGGGTTAAGCCTCGGCCGGCAGCGGCTGCGCACCTGGAGGCGGAGGAGGACTCCGCGAGCGATGCCGAAGGGCCCAAGGGCCGGGCCCCGCTGGAGCTCGTCGACGCGGGCGGAGGCGGCGGCAGCGACGTTGAGGGGGAAGTTGAGGACACCGAAATTACCGAGATCTCCACGTTTCCGCCGCGGGGCCACACCAGAGCAACCGAGCTGGCTCTGCAGCAAGACCCACTGCAGCGCTTGAGCCAGAAGAGCCGCCTCACCTACGCGGATAAGCAGCTGAAGAACCTGGACCGAGCGTGCGGCGGCATGCTGCAGGCGAGCTTTGCGCAGCCAGCCAGCAGCGGCGCGCGGGGGCATCTGGGCACGCGGCTGGACGACAGCTTCTTTGATATGCTGGCCCTACAGCGGCAGAGCATTGCGCTCCAGAAGAAGCAAGCGAGTCCGGATGGAGAGACCTTGCCCGATGTTGGGGGCGACTGGTTACGCCATGCATGCGCAGGCCAAGCTTGATGCGCACGACGCTGGCCAGCTGCTCTTCTACGCGCCGGCAGTCGACAGACCAGCTGCGCGCCTCGCGAAGCCTGACTTCGACAAGATGCGCGCGGAGCCCAACATCGGCGCTACTGGAAAAATGCCGGGGCTGCTGCCGCTCTTCCTCGGCGCGGAAGTCATCCTGACGGAGCCCGTCTTGCCACCTAAGCATGTCCGCGGCACGCCGGGCAAGGTGGTAGGCGTAGAGCAGCACGCCCTGGAGCCTCCGGTGGAGGGTCGCGCGTCCGTTGTCTCGGATGGCGTTGCGGTACTCCGCTACATGCCCAAGGCCATCTATGTCAAGATCGATGACAACGATGAGCTCTTCTTGAAGGCCGCGCCGGCGACTGCTGGCAGTGCTTCTCAGCCTGCCGGCCCTGACCTGCGCGGAGTGCTCGCGATTACCCCGCAGGCCCGCCCCTGGAAGTTCAAAACAACGGCGGATGGCCCGGCCATCACGGTCTCCAGGACAGTGTTGACCGTGCTGCCCAAGAAGCAGGGCACTCTGCACGGCGTGCAGGGCAAGACGGCGGACCCAGGCTTCATCGTGCACTGGACGTTTCCGCCAGGACTCAAGAAAGAGTCCATTTGGCTGGCCTACTACGTCAGCCTGTCGCGGCCCCGGAACTTCGGCCAGCCCTTGAGCCACGGCTTGCCTTACCGGAGCATCATCGAGTCAGGCCCCCCAGAACAGATCGCGAAGGCCTTCGACGAATTCTTCGCAGACAAGATTGC